ACCTCTCTATTGGATTCCTGCAGTACAGCCTTCTGAGTTCCTGCTTCCTTTCTCACCCTCTGTTCCCCAACCCACCTTTTTCTCACAAAGCACCTCAAGTTATCTTTTAAAAGTATAAGTCAGACCTAAACAGTTTGGCTCAGTGGATAGAGCATCGGCCTGTGGACTGAAGGGTCACAGGTTTGATTCCGGATGTACCTTGGTTGCAGGCACATCCCCAGTAGAGGGTGTGCAGGAGGCAATTGATCAATGTTTTTCTCTCATCAATGTTCCCAACTCTCTCCCTCTCTCCCTTCTTCTCTGTAAAAACAAAAACAAAAACAAAACAAAAACAATAAAATATATATACATATTTTAAAAATATATATTTTATTGATTTTTTACAGAGAGGAAGAGAGAGGGATAGAAAGTTAGAAACATCCATGAGAGAGAAACATCGATCAGCTGACTCTTGCACACCCCCTACTGGGGATGTGCCCGCAACCAAGGTACATGCCCTTGACCAGAATCGAACCTGGGACCTTTCAGTCCGCAGACTGACGCTCTACGACTGAGCCAAACCGGTTTCGGCCAATAAAAAATATTTTTAAAAGAAGTATAAATCAGCCTGGCTGGTGTGGCTCAGTTTTTGGGCATTGACCCATAAACCATAAGTCATGGTTTGATTTCTTCCTAGTCAGGACACATGCCTGGTTTGTTGCTTAATCCCTAGAAGGGGACGTGCAGGAGGCAGCCCATTAATGATTTTCTCTCATCATTGATGTATCTAACTATTTCTCCCTCTCCCTTCCTCTCTGAAATCAATAAAATATTTTTAAAGTATAAATCAGCCTTGGCTGGGTAGCTCAGTTGGTTAGTGTCTTCCTCATATGCCAAGGTTGCAGGTTTAATCCTTGGTCAGGGTACATATGAGAAAAAATCCAATAAATGCATAAATAAGTGGAGCAAGTCTAATGCTTCTCTCTCTCCCTCTCTTCTTCTCTCCCTCCCTCCCTTCCTCTTCAATCAATCAATTAAAAAAAACATTATAAATCAGATTATGTCACTTCTGTATCCAGAACTTTTCAGTGACTTTCTATCACATTAGGAATAATCAAATCCAGAGTCCTTAAGCTTGCCTATAAAGCCCAGTATCACATGAACTGTTTCTAATCTCATACCCTCTCTTGGTCAGCTCTGCTGACATTACTGTTTCTTGAAAGAGTCAGGCATATTCCCACATTGTGATCTTTGCACTTATTATTCTTGCAGCCTGGACTATTCTTCATTCACACTTTTAATTTTTATTTTTAGTAAAGCAAGCAAGAATTTATTGGCCACAGCAAAAGCACATTCCGATGGGATGTTTTTTAAAGCTGGGGACAGTGAAGTAAGGAAGAGCTTAGCACTGAAGAAGTAACAGGAAAGCCTCGGCTGGGCTGCTTTGGCTCACTGGGAAGTCAGAGAAAAGGGGGCCTTGGAGACAGGTTCAGGGGGTTAGCTGAGAACGGGCCGCTGTCCCCTGCTCCTCTGGTTGGGGTTCCTTAGAGTTTAGGGGTTGCCGCCTGTGGGGAGAGAAGAGGAGAAGGGGAAGGTGTGGCATGCTCCCCAGAGGAAAAGTGCATGCCACTCACATCTTCCTATTGTTTGCTTGTTCTCCTTTCTTTTCTTTTTTAAAAATATATTTTTGTTGATTTCAGAGAGGAAGGGAGAGAGAGAAATAGAAACATGAATGATGAGGTCATTGATCGGCTGCTCCTGCACACACCCACCCACCCCCACTGACTGGGAATCATGTTTAAAAGGTGATGCTCAACCACTGAGCCACATCAGCTGAGCTTGTTTTCCTTTTTTATTCAGGTCTTTGTCAAATATCATTTTTTCAGATAAGTTTTCCCTGACAGCCCTGTCTAAAGTAATACCCAGTCAGCTCAATCCCTTATCCTGTTTGATTTTTCGCCCTACCTCTTATCACTTCCAACTAAGATGTAAGTGTCATAGGATAGGCATTTGATTTTGTTCTCTGGTATCTATTTCCAGCAGCTAGCTGGAATAGTACTTAGCACACAGTAGGCACTCAATAAATATTTGTTGAATGAATGAACAAATAGGTATTAGTTTTAAAATGTTAGTTTCTTGAAGGTAGAGATTCTCCTCCTCACCCCCCCCCCTTTTTAAAAAAACATATTTTATTGATTTTTAACAGAAAGAAAGGGAGAGAGATAGAGAGCTAGAAACGTCGATGAGAGAGAAACATCGACTAGCTGCCTCTTGCACACCCCCTACCGGGGATGTGCCCGCAACCAAGGTACATGCCCTTGTCCGAAATCGAACCTGGGACCTTTCAGTCCTCAGACCGACGCTCTACCACTGAGCCAAACCGGCTTCGGCTCACCCCTCTTTTTTAACCTGTATCTCCACTGCCTAGTGACATAAATCAGGGTATTTTGTTGTTGTTGACTGGAAAACTGAATCATGAATGTATAGTGGAACCAATCTGCCTTCTGTGGTTTTCTAAGTCTAGGATGCTCAGTTGCACCTCCCACTTACCTCTCTCTACCTATTGCATTCAAACTTCTGTCCCACCATTACATTGACGAAGCTTGTATTAAAATTGATCTGGGCCGGAACTGGTTTGGCTCAGTGGATAGAGCGTCGGCCTGCGGACTGAAGGGTCTCAGGTTCGATTCCGGTCAAGGGCATGTACCTTGGTTGCGGGCACATCCGCAGTAGGGGCTGTGCAAGAGGCAGCCGATCGATGATTCTCTCTCATCGATGTTTCTAACTCTCTATCCCTCTCTTCCTCTCTATGAAAAATCAATAAAAAATATTTAAAAAAATAAAATAAAATAAAATTGATCTGGTTAGCCCTGACTGTATTCTCAGTGGTTAGAGCATCAGCCTGTGTACTGAAGAGTCTAGGGTTTGATTCCTGGTCTAGGGCACATACTACCTCAGTTGCAGGCTCACTTCCCATCCTTCCCTGTCCGGTGCCCCTCCCCCCCAATTGGGAGGCAACCAATCATGTCTCTCTCACATCAATCTCCCTCTCTCCTTCCCTTCCTCTCTCTCTGAAAAAAGCATTGGAAAAATATCCACAGGTGAGGATCAACAACAACAACAAATAAAATTGATCTGGTTACTAGAATCAGTAGGTACTTTTATTACTCTCCAGTTCCTGTTGATCCTGCCTCTGTCTCCAGCCTCCCATCTCCATTGACAACTCAGGTTCAGGCCTCACCATTTTTCACTTAGGAAATGCAGTACCCTCCTAAAACTGGTTCTCTTACTTCCAGGGCACTTGTTTTTTCTTTTCATACTGTTGCCAGGAGGACCTCTCTAAAAGACAAAACAAAAACCAATTATGACATTTACAAGATAATTAAACATTTGAACATTTGATAATATTAATGGGAATGATATAATGATTGGGAGTATCACATTTTCTTCAAATATAGGGGAAGGGGTGTGGATGGGTTGATGGTTGTTGGAGCTGAGTGATGGGTATATAGGGGTTCACTGTATTATTTAGTTTACTTTTTTTAAAAAATATATATATTTTGTTGATTTTTTACAGAGAGGAAGGGAGAAAGATAGAGAGCTAGAAACGTCGATGAGAGAGAAACATCGACCAGCTGCCTCTTGCACAACCCCTACCGGGGATGTGCCCGCAACCAAGGTACATGCCCTTGACTGGAATCGAACCTGGGACCCTTCAGTCCGCAGACCGACGCTCTACCACTGAGCCAAACCGGTTTTGGCTATTTAGTTTACTTTTGTGTGTGTTTAAAATGATCTGGGGCCCTACCTGTTTTGGCTCAGTGGATAGAGCGTTGGCTTGCAGACTGAAGGGTCCCAAATTCGATTCCAGTCAAGAGCACATGCTTGGGTTTCGGGCTCGATCCCCAGTAGGGGGCGTGCAGAAGGCAGCAGATCAATGATTCTCTCTCATCATTGATGTTTCTATCTCTCTCTTCCTTCTACCTTCCTCTTTGAAATCAATAAAAATATATTTTAAAACATAAAAATAAAATGATATGGAATGAAAAGTTTAAAAAAATTCAAGTGTGATTATATCTTTTTGCTTGAAATTCTTCAATGACTACTTGGGCTAAAATCCAAACTCATATAATACACCTGGTTTTTCTTTTTTTAAAAATGTTTTTATTGATTTTAGAAAGAAATAGTACAGAGAGAGAGAGAGAGAGAGAGAGAGAGAGAGAGAGAGAGAGAGATTTCTGTATGCACTAGATCAGGTACATGAATCCAAAATCTGGGCATGTGCCCTGATTGGGAATCGACTAGCAACCTTTCTGTGCATGGGTGATGCCCAACCAACTGAGCCACACTGACCAGAGCATGCCTGGTTTTTCTTAACTAACCCTGACACCATGTCCAGCTTCCGTTCTTGGCCATTCATCTCTTCATACCTGTGTCCAGCTACATGGGGTCTGTGATTCCCTGAATTCACATGCTCCTTCACGTTCTTTGTGCTTTGTGTGCGCTGCTCCTCAGCCTGGAGTGCCCTCCCTGCTTTCCCTTGCCCTTTATACCTAGGTCAGGCGTCACCCTCTCTAGAAAACCTCCCTTGGGGTTAGTGGAAGCACTGGCCCTATTATTGTATTATCTCCCCCGATGTTGGACTCTCAGCTCTTTGAAACAGGGACAGTCTGACTTCTGTGTCCCACAATTGCTTGGCACTCAATAAATGATCAGGGAATAAATGATTTTTCATTGTTAAATTCTCAACACCAGCATATCACTTAACACATGCTCAGTAAGTGTTCATTGAACATATATTGCATGTGTTTTTTGTTTTGTTTTGAACTACTGTTGGTAACTTGATGGTGTAGGTTAGAAAGCTGTACTTCCCATATCTTTCAGTAGGAGTGATAAGTGGACAATAGAACAGACTGGCTTTTGTTTCTTCTCTGCAGGCATGGGTTGGAATTGGAGCCTCTCCTGGTACCTGACTACACCCAGCACCATGTGGCTACTAACTGCTCTTCAATCACCTATTGATGCCTCCCAGAAGAAAACGCCACCAGACATCCCAGAAAGCCCAGCTGCTATTCCACCAACAGCCTGTGGAGGGCCCCAGACACCTCTATAGATCGCCACAGCTTCCCATCACCCACACTAGACAGGTGCCCAGCAAGCCCATTGACCACAACACCATCACTTCCTGGGTAGGCCATGGGATTCTTACTTTGACTTACTCTGTTAGGCTTCTCAAAATACTCATTCTTCTGCTCCTTGAACCAAGGCCTTCAAAGAATAAGATTCATGGGTCAGTGATGAGGCAGTATACTCTTTCTGTCTGGTCAGCCATCTTTTCTGCTATATCTTCTTTTCTAATTTCAAACTGAACTCAGAAACTTCAACCTAGATTGGTTGGAATTGTAGTTTCCGTCTCCTTCCTTCCTCCTCCCCCGCCCCCACACATTCCTCTGAAAGAACTTAGTATAAAAATTTCACTATCCAGTAGCTGGGTGAGAAAATCCAGATAAATGGCAGAACTAGTAAAAAATGAGATTGTTTCCTGATCTAAGTACTCTGTTTACTGTTTAATAGATTGAACCTCGAAAAAAACCCACAGAAATGGCCTATGTCATATTTTGACAGCTTAAAAGCCCATATAGCTACTGTATGTCTGGGAAGTAGTATAGCAAAAGGACCAGACTAAAGCATAACATCTGCTTAGGAGTGCTTAATAAATATGAATTGCTCGGAATTGCTTAGGAGAGATATATTTGCTCATGGTGTAGAAGAAACATAAATGTTAGAATGTAGTGGATGAGAATAATAATGAACATTTATTAAGAACTGATTACATGCCAGGTCCTGTGCTATTTGCTTTCAATTACAATCTCACTCCCTATTCTTGCATTCAGCCATTCATTCTTTATTTTTTTTAAATAAATTTTTATTGTTCATATTATTACAAATGTTCCCCCCCCCCCATTGCTTTCCTCCACCAGGTTCCCATCCCACCCTCTGCCCTTTCCCCACCCCCCATTGTCCTCATCCATAGGTGCACAGTTTATGTTCAGTCTCTTCCCACATCTCTCTCTCCCCTTTCCTCAAGAATTGTCAGTTCACTCCCCTTCCATACCTCTGATTCTATTATATTCAACAGTTAATATCGTTCATCAACTCTCAACCCTCTTATGTGTCTTGGTTTCTGTCCCTATCTGTCTATAACAACTGTGAGGACTTGGAGCTCTGGGTAACCTTTATATGCCCCTCCCTAGACATTGCAATTGCTTTGGAATTCCTTATGGGGCTTCTGCACATTGTGAGATACCCTTTCACACCTGCACATGGATTCTTAGTCACCTAAGAGTACCTTTATCCGAAACAGGTTTGGCTCAGTGGATAGAACCAAAGGTCCCAGGTTTGATTCCGGTCAAAGGCTTATATAATACCTTGGTTGCAGGCACAACCCCAGTAGGGGGTGTGCAAGAGGCAGTTGATTGATGATTCCCTCTCATCGATGTTTCTAACTCTCTATTCCTCTTCCTCTCTGTAAAAAATAAGTAAAATATATTAAAAAAAAAAAAAGAAAGAAAGAAAAAGAAAGAAAGAAAGAAAGAAAAGGAGGCATTGTCCCCTTTCTTACACATGAGGAAACTGAAAGCTGGAGAGATAAAATAGATTGCCCAAGCTCATATCTCTTTCTATTAATATCCCATTAATACAGGTATTTTTGTTTTGTGTCCCTTACAATAGTGGGTTCCATTTATTAATCCTCACTTGAGGATATATATATATATACTTTTCATTGATTAAAATTTTTTTTTATTGACATAAAGAGAGACTGTTTGACAGGCTTCCTTCTGCACACCCCCTACTGGAGATTGAGCCTGAAATCTGGGCATGTGCCCTGACTAGGAATCAAACCATAATCTCCTGCTTCCTGGATCAACACTCAATCACTGAGACACACCGGCCAGGATCATTGATTTTTTTTTGAGAGTGAAAGGGAGGGAAAAGGAAAGAAGGGGAAGAGAGAGAGAAACATTGATGTGAAAGAGTCACATCAATTGGTTGCCTCCTGCTTTCACCCCAGTAGGGGGGGCAGGAATTGAACCTGCAACTGAGGTATATGCCCTTGATCAGGAATTGAACCTGTGACCCTTTAGTACAAGGGTCAACACTCTAACAAAATCGGCCAGGGCTATAGTGAATCCCATTTAGGATTCTGGTCTCCGGTCATTGGGTATAGTTTCTTCCTTTAGGTTTGTTCTTGGTATGTAGCTGTCCTCACTTTTTTTTTTGTTGTTGTTTTTGACCCTTAGGTATCACCTCAGTTTGATACAACAGCAGAAAGCTGGTTCCCAGCCAACAGGAAAGGGAAGCATCATCACCGAGACCAGGCAAGACGTTCCGATCGAAAATCTGCCACCTCCAAGTTTCCACATCTAACATTTGAGAGTCCACCATCTTCTTCCAGTTCAGCCACACTCGGAGGCCCCTTAATCCAGCAGTGCCCCAATCATTCAGTAAAGGACATTTCCAAAAGGCCCTTAGTTCCAATGCTCAGCCCCCCAAGCTGTGGGGAAATGTCAACACATGCACTTCAAAACTTACCTTATATGTTCATTGCACCTGATATCCAGACCCCAGAGTCATCTCCTGTGAAGCAAAGGCTGCTTGCCCCAGATCATAAGGAAAACAGCCTGCCAAGCAGTTCCCTTCACTCTAGCACTTCTGAGAGCCCAGAGCCTGGGCCTGTTCTGGTTAAAGACACCCCTGAAGAGAAGTATGGGGTGAAGGTCACGTGGAGGAGACGACGGCACCTGTTCACTTACCTCAGGGAGAGAGGGAAGCTCAGCAAAAGCCAGTTCCTTGTGAAAAACTGACTGGATTTCTCAGAGATCAGTAATCTCAATAAATTGATTGCTGCTGTTCATAGAGTTGCTAAAGTTACTTTTCTGACTTACAGAAGAGTTCATCAATAGAATAAAATGGAATAATACCAATAACATCAAGAAAAGTATTTTAACCAGTTCCAAGATTTTCTTTTTAAAATTTATAAACAGTTTTTAGTGTGTATTTTTCTTGTATTAACTGTTTAAAATTTTAAGATATCTTGTAGTAACTGTTTAAATTGTGTTTAAATAAATTATTGTAGAAAGTTTTTAGAGAACCCTGCTTCTGACTGCCAATAATGCAGAACATTGCCTCCACCACTGAAGGTCTTAGTTGTTTGATTTAACCATTACTAAATAATCCTTTAGTCACCTCATTCAAACTAATTCATTCCCCATGAATGAATTAGTACCAATTTTTGAGTACCAGTTCTATTGTGCTCAGTGGCAGCTTCCTCTATGACCCGATGGACGGAAAAAACCAAAGTAAACTCTGACTTTATAGTTGAGCAACTTTGGCTCTTCTGCAGAAAGGCAAGATGACGAAAGGCAGCAAGCCCTGTTTTAGTGACTACTGTACAATCAGAAATAACTGGGACATACTTGAGTTTGCTGTTTTGATTTTTTATTTCCAACCAAAAAAAAAAGTAAATATTAAATAGAGTGACACAATGATTTCTTGGAGTAACTGTTTAAAATGTATGTAAATAGCCCTGTCCGGTATGTATGGCTCACTTGGCTAGGCATAGTCCCATGTACCTAAAGGTCACCGGTTCAATTCCTGGACAGGCCACATACCTGGGTTGTGGGCTCAATCCCCTGTAAGGGGTTTGCAGGAGGCAGCTGATCATTGTTTTGCTCTCACATTGGTGTTTCTTTCTCTAATAATAAAAAATTTTTTTTTTTTTTTTTTAAAAAGAAGTAACTTTAAAATGTATGTAAATAGCCCTGGCCAAGTAGCTCACATGGTTGGAGTGTCGTCCCATATAGCAAAAGGTTGCAGGTTTGATATCCGGTCAAGGCATATAATTAGGTTATTGGTACCTAGGTTTAAGGTTCAAGCCCCCATGGGGTGGGTACAGGAGGCAACCAATCAATGTTTCTCTTTTCTCTCTATCCAAAATCAAAAGTATATAAATAAATGTGGGAACTTTTCAGAGAACACTACTTCTTACTATTGTTGAACTGTCCAGTTAACAAAATGTCTTCATTGTGCTTTCACTATACAAACAGCACCTCACTCAGCTTTAGAAACCTACTCTGTCAGCCAAGCAAGGATTGTTATTTTATTTTATTTATTTTATTATTTTATTTTATTATTTTATTTTATTTTATTTTATAGATGGGGATATAAAGCACAAATAATGAACCATGTTCAGGGTCACAGCGAATGGACGCTGACCCTGCCAGTGCAAAGCTCCGCTCTCCTAGCTTGTGCCCAGTTCTAGCCTTCTTAGAAATGCAAGCCCAATGTGGAAACAGCTTTGACTTTGGGATGCCATTAAACTCAAGTGCGATAACTTTTTTAAGTTCTGTAAGTTCCAGTATGACAGACCTCGGGTCGCGCTCCCTCCCGGGGGTCTGTGTTCACACCATGGGGGTGATGGGAGGCCCTCCTCAGTTTGTGGGGGTTGGGCGGCTCCTCTGACCGACTAGCTTCCCAGCGGGGGAAACATGCTCAGTGCCGGCGGCTCAGCGGTCCAGGCGCCCAGCCCCGGCACGTCATTCCCGCTGGAGCGCAGGCGCCTCCGACTCGAGTGCCTACGCCCCTTGGAGCCCCACCCCGCCACGCCGAACGGGGGAAGGAGCCAATGAGAGAGGGGCGGCTGGCCCGCGGGCCAATCGGCGGTGGCAACAGTGCGGGGTGCGGTTGCCAGGGGGCGGGGCCCGGACGCGCGCCAGGCTGGCCACCCCAGCAGCAGAGTGCGAGTCGCGAATCTGGTTGGTGGCGGCTACTTTCCGAGCGGCGGGGATGGAGGCGTCGCGCTGCCGCCTCGGACCCGGCGGGGACAGGTCAGAGGCGGGTATGGCCGGAGAGGGATGTGGCTGGTCTGGTCTTGAGCGGGGGTGCGGACAGAGCCAGACAGTGCGGTCCTCTCGGGGCTCTCCGAAGAGAGGGCGGTGGGCTCAGGTAGGGGGGCGGGTGGGGCTGCACTGGAGCCCCCTCGCTCCTCTGCCACGGAGGCCCCCCCTTTCCCGGGGCGGCGGCTCAGCATCCTGCTCCGGGGTCAGGGACTTCAGGGGCTGCTCGGGAAACTCCTGGAATTTTCGTTTCGAGCTCGTCTTGCCCTCTGTGGGCCTCGCTTTCCCTAAACGCGTCGGACTGTCATAGCAGATCGGTGGAAGTCTTTCCCTGCGTCCTGGAAGCGGAAGGTTGCGGGTGGTATTTAATAGTTTGCTCCAAAGACCATTGCTTTAATGGGCTGAAAAGGCAAAAGTGTCCTTTCGCTGCTATTTTTTGCTTGGTAGTAATTATCTCTTACTCAAGACTAGTTGTCTTATTTGCCACATACCCTCCTCCCCCATGTTTGTGCTCCTCTATCTCGGCCATGTCCCTTTTTTCTCCCTCTGCCAAGAAATAAAACGATCCGAAATCTCAGCCTGCCAGTTGTTGTTTGCCAGGTTAATGAAAAGTTAATGGGGAGCGGCGTGAAATCATTGGCTTAAAACTTTGGCATTGTCTGAAGATTCAAATCACACACGCCAACTGTATCCCCCCTCTTTTTTTTTTTTTATTTTTTTATCCCATACCACGGTAAATAAACATTTAGTGTGTAAGGATTTAGTCTGATGCTTAGAGGAGTCGATATGTAAACAATTCGAAACCATTTAAAAACGTTGTCAGGGGTGATGAGAACCGAAGGGTCTCAGGTTCGATTCCTTCTGGTAGTTAAGGGTAGTCTCTGGGCTGCAGTTCCATTCTGGCTCTGGTGGGGGCGCGTACCTGTGTCTTCCTCGCAATACCGTGTTTTCCCGAAAATAAGACATCCTCCGAAAGTAAGACCTACTTACAGGTTTCCTTCTGAGTGAAATATAAGGCATCCCCCCGAAAATAAGGCCCCCTCCTAGGCTCTGTCTCAGAATGCTATTGCTAAACATGAGAGATTTGGTCCACTGATTCTGAAAGAAATGGAGTCACAAGAAATTCACCAGGAAATTCAGGAATTGGATTGTTATGATGGTGTTCCAGAAGATGATGACATGATTGTCATTGAATAAATGAGTAAATTCTTGATACTGTAGGATTCGCAGTTTGGTTTGTGTTGACAACTACCGTACTACCATACCGTATACAGGTAATAAATTTCCTTTATTTTCATTTAACAATAAATGTGTACTGTATTCTTCATGGAAAAATAAGACATCCCCTGAAAATAAGACCTAGCGCATCTTTGGGAGCAAAAATTAATATAAGACACTGTCTTATTTTTGGGGGAAACAAGGTAGATGTTTCTCCCTCCCCTCTCCCCTCTTCCCTCCCCTTTAACTATCTCTAAAAATCAGTGGGAAAACTATTCTCGGGTAAGGATTAAAAACAAAAGCAAGCCGAAACCGGTTTGGCTCAGTGGTAGAGCGTCAGTCTGCGGACTGAAAGGTCCCAGGTTCGATTCCGGTCAGGGTTGCGGGCACATCCCCGGTAGGGGGTGTGCAAGAGGCAGCTGGTCGATGTTTCTCTCTCATCGACGTTTCTAGCTCTCTATCTCTCTCCCTTTCTCTCTGTTAAAAATAAATAAAATATATTTTTTTAAAAAAACAAACAAAACAAAAACAAAAGCAAGCCGGGACCGGTTTGGCTCGGTGGATAGAGCGTCGGCCTGCGGACAGAAGGGTCCCGGGTTCGATTCCAGTCAAGGGCATGTACCTTGGTTTCGGGCACATCCCCAGTGGGGGGTGTGCAGGAGGCAGTTGGTCGATGTTTCTCTCTCATCGACGTTTCTAACTCTCTGTCCCTCTCAATTCCTTTCTGTGTAAAATCAATAAAATATATTAAAAAAAAAAAAAAAAAAAGCAAAAAGCAAAAATATGTTTACGGGGGAGGCACCCATTTTCCTCTTTCATCAGTTTTCTGTATGTGATAACTGCTGTGAAATTTGTTCATTGCATTAAGGGGGGGATCTACATTTACAAGTAAAAATATGGAGGTGTTAGGAGGAGGTAATGTTAAAATTGAGCATCTTCGTTGAATTCAGATGGTCTTTGTTCTGTTATAGGCACTCACTCAATATTAATTAGTTAAGTAAATTTAAGGCCATGCATTTCATGGGTACTAGGTGTTTGAAATGACTTATGATTTTTTTGGGGGAAATGGAATTGACTTTGAAATTGAGAATGGCTAATTCTTTGGGATCTGAAGTTTAAAAGGATAATTTTAATGTTCTCCCCTCTTTTTCTTCCCAAAGAAACCAGCTCTTTAATTTAGACATTGACATCAAAGGGGAATATGTGAGTCACCAAATGTTTCTCCTGCCCTAGGTAATATTAATGCAGCCTCTATTACTGTTTAACTCATTTGTTGTTGAGAGGGAGTGGAATGTCTCATGCTTTATTGGCTCCAGATTGTGTGTTTAAAGTTTTTCATGAAAAACATGGCTAGAGCTTTTGTCCTTAATACCTTATATTGTGAAGTAATATCTGACTTTTAAGTTTCTTGTGATTTTTTTCTTCTTCTCTGAATTATGTGACTGTTTTACCATGAGGCAGATTTCTTTTCAACAAAGTAGAAAAATTATTAAAAAATAAACTTCAAATATTTTCCTATGCCTGAATTATTTAGAGAAAATTGGAGATGGAATTTGAAACAATACTGAGGACCTTTGATGAGGCTAGGCATTTGATATAGATTCCCTAGAGATGACAGCAGTTGGCTGGTGCTAGAATTTGAGCTCTCTCTGGCCTTTTGTTCCTGATCAAGGATTGTAGATGTGGTGAGAGAGACTTCTCAGAGTAGGTGACATTGTGACCCAGTGTTGACTAAGAAAATCTTTGTCTGC